TAATTATTTGCAGTCTAAATTTGAATGTGTCCTGATGCATCCGTGACAAGTACACATCAAGGAAATATGTCATCACCTCAGTACTCTGAGGCTGATGTGGCAACACTACCGGTAGTAATTTGTATTTATGTAAATACATGCGCGCTAGCTTTTGAAATATTTCTGTTTTATTATGTAGCCTGGGGGTTGCGTCAAGAAGGGCATCCAGAGCAAACGTCTGTGCCAAATCAAACATGCAAATCCATCCATTGTGGCAACCTCTCAGGAAATGAGGGTATTTAGCCTGTGCAAAATAAACCTGAATTAATAAATGTGTGTGGACCTCTTTCACTTTCTAAAAACACTGTTTCTTGGAAAATGAAATGAACAGTGATGTATCTTGGTAGTTGTTTCAAGGTAGTTCACTTGTTTGAGGTGAGGCCACAAGAAACCGGTAATCAAACAATATAGCACAGCTTTAATAGTTTAGAAAATCTGTATTTAATGGAATGGATATGAACTTTGCTGGCTTTACTGGCTTTGCTGGTCAGCCACGGTGGTTGGCACTTGTCACCCTTTGCCACGAGTGGTGACCTACATGCTTGCACTAACGTCACGGACAGGATAACATGAATGCATGAGGATAATAGCTCAAAATAGCATATTGCTCTTTATAGTGACCGGAGCACAGGCATTTCTGTGGTCAGGGAAGTGAGGCTCATGTTTTGTATCTCATTAAATGAGTGTTACTAAAAGGGGGGATAATAATAAAGCCATATTGTTATTGGCTGAGATCATCTATAAACATTAGAAATTTGTTATTATTGGATGAACTCACTGCAATGGTGCCTGGCTATATTCTTGTAGGCCTAAACTTGTTCTTCCAAATCTGGGGTCAAATCCAGGCTTTGGGTTTCCCTTGTTGTTCATTTCAATAATTTAATAATGCTATGAATCATGGGTAATGTCCCGACCAGCTGTCGCTCCGATTCTTGGATTCTGACCTGGTGGAAACACACGACTCGAGACGGACTTCTCAGTTCAAGAACTTCTTTATTCACCCATGAACAAGGGGAGATGTGCACAGCGCGAAGCCTCCTGCACATCTCAAGGGCAGTCCCTCGATCTGTTAAATTCATACTATTTCAAAGTTCCTCATTCAGCGCCTACTTTTCCTGTTATTTAGTACTCTATGTTCCTGTACCCTTCATACACAGTTTTGATCAAAACATCTCCTCCTTCCTTTAACATTCTTATCTTTTCCTTTTACAGTCTTACATCAATTCATCTCTCCTTCT